AAATGGTTTCCTTAGGCATTTCATGACTTATTCATTTTTTGTGAAGTTTTCTTGATGGGGATAATTCCAGAGTGAAAACCAAGCTTGGAGTGTCAGTTCAATGATTTCTCATTATAGGTGTTAATCCTCGTTTGGTGTACATCACAACTCCACTTGGAAACTTCTTCGACCTTTTATCATTGATTAATAGTGCCGTCAACTTTGTACTATGTGCACTTATGTCTCATGTCTTTAGGAGGTAAGCAATGTGTGGTTTTTCTGTTCAGGACCCAGTTTATCTCTTACTAAATTGTAGGGAATTCCTGCACACATTCAGTATGTGCTGCCCACAATCAAGCGAAAATCACAGCGGTGCTCCGATCACGAAAACAACAAAAATTTCGGTAATACCGAGAGTTTTGATAATTGACGAAAATCCGTAATTTTGCGTCGTTTCAGCTCTTCACCACATTATCATCACCATTTCGGAAAGTTAAAGGATTTCTACCAGTACCGACTTCGGATCGTGACTCACAACAAAATAATCGAGTGGCGGGTGCTCTCTAAACAAATTGATTATCAATTTTTCCCGAAATTGTACTATGCATTCAATTTATAGCTCATAAAAAGAGATTGAGTGATAAATTCTAATAGTTTGGATAATTATTGATTGATTATGTTTATAGTATCACTATTGCAGCGGTTAGCCCGAAGCGGGTTTATGCTTTTGAATCGCAATTATTATTGTACAGTAATGCTGTGTTTTTTACTGTTAATTTCAATAAAGCTTTATTTTTGGTATCTTCACATGTATGAAAATGTTGAGGAGTGTAACTAAGAAGCAAAGAAAATAAAAATTTTGAAAGAAAGAAGTCTCAAAGCGCGATTTTTTTGATCAACTTTGCTGTATTCTTTAATTTGAGAGTTCATAACTTTTTATGTATAGAAAGATAGGTTTTGTTTGCATAAATTCTTCAAAATGTTCTTTTCTTTGTTTATCGTGATCAGCTACGTAACGAAGTAAAATTGTGGTGCAAAAAAACTAATTTGTAAGCTCTTCATTGTCTCAGAATTGATTGTCATTCTCAGAACAGCTCTTCAAACAGCAATTCGCTTGCTTAGCATGCCTAACGAGACATTCACCATCATCAAGAATCTAAGAAAAACACTTGAAGAGCAGCATATGGGGATTTTCTATGCTGCAGAAAATGCGTGGGCAGTGCTGCTGCAACAAGCGATTGCTTTAGGGACCATGAAATTCCAGAATGGGGAGGGGGAAGGAAATGAAGGGAAG